AGCAGCTTAGTTGAAAGAAGCTATAAGAATGAAGCTCAAAGAATAAACTTTGGTAAATGCTGAAAATATTTTCTCAAAAAAGGAACAATAACTTAGTTGTTTGTAGTGTGCAGTATTATGTCGAGCTCACATGGCTTGTCCCAGCTAATAGACAAGTTAATCAATCCATTTTTCTCGAATCACTATTCATAAATCCGTCGACCTTGTCAACTACTCACTTGTAACCTTGGTTGTTTTTAATTCAGTAAGTGTGTGCATCGCTTGTTTTGCTTTTCATCACATGTCTAGCCTATTTTTGTCTGTCTACAAATACTCAGTCACGCCTCACCGCATTCAGTTAGCTCCGCTTCACATTGTATCGTTTTGCATTCTATTTTTTGTCTGCTTAAATGAGTTCATGAAATAGATTCATCCATAAAATGATAAAGCATTCCAGATTTAAACGAGTAAATCTTAATTTCCGCTTTTACTGTACCTATTTCTGTTTGGGTAAACAGAATGAAGAACTGGCCCCCACGCTCGAATAGCAATATGACTAAAAGCCAAGTACTTCAACAACCTGCAGTTGATAAATGAGCAGTATTTTAATACTTTTACTTAACAATATACATTACCATAAGATACAAAATAGTACATCAAAAAAAGAACAAGTTCATAATAAAATTTTCCAGATAGTTCAGCCGCTGACAAAATGCAGAGTCTTCTGACTACCCTAAGCTACAATGCAAGCATGTTCGGGATGCGGTTTTTCTCCTCGAAATGCAAAATTTTGCTTCAAGATTGGGTTTCATCGGCACCTGAACTAGTTATAGGGGGTGAAGTAGTCGAACGTGTGGACCGCTTCACTTATCTGGGGAGTCTAATCAGTGCCGATGGCCTGGTGACTGACGAAATCTCAGCACGGATACAGAAGGCTCGATTGGCTTTTGCCAACCTGCGTCACTTATGGCGTAGGCGAGATATCCGTTTGCTGACTAAAGGACGAGTGTACTGTGCAGTAGTTCGCTCCATCCTACTTTATGGCTGTGAAACATGGCCAGCGAGAGTGGGAGATATTCGTAGGTTACTGGTTTTATATCATAGGTGTGAGCAACGCTGTTATTAGGAAACGGGTACTAGGTAAGAATGGCAGATCAATAGATGAAGTAATGAAACTTCATCAGTTGAGGTGGTTGGGACATGTGTTGCGTATGCCCCACCACCGACTGCCTCGTCGAGCTTTGTTTTGTAGTGTAGGAATAGGTTGGAAGAAAGTTAGGTGCGGCCAGACCAAAACATGTCAGAAATCCATGAAGTCATTGACGAGTGGCCTTAGCCATGTCGGTAATTGTCGACTACCTGGTTGGGGTCCGCGAGATGGTAATAATCGATGGCTAGGGACCTTGAACGACATTATTCAAAATTGTTCGCAATGGCGCCGGTGCATTTATTCTTTGTGTTCTCTCAAATCCTAATCTTCTGGGTTCTTCAACACCTCTAGTTTTGACTTTCTAAACTTTTCTCACTGAATCATACTTTTCGAATAATATCTTCTAACCCTAACCTCTCCGATTACTCCTAATACCTTTACTACCTCGCCTACTATTGGATTTGAACTGACAATTATATCTCTGTGTTGATGTGGTATGGTAACATGAACTGATGTACTTACGTACGAAGTTCTACGTTGCATCTGACTGACTGACTGAGATAGTTCAGCTACGAAGGAACTTCTAGGCTTATATGAATCACTTAAAATGCAAAAGTATCAAGTAGAAATACTATCTAATGGTTTGTTCAATACACAAAGTGATTAGATTATAAAATTCAAATGACTTCAGTGACTTGAGTTACTATGCAAATGAGAATGAATTCTAGAAAGCTAACAGGGGAAATGAGCTGACTACAATATCTTATTGTATTTTTCATTATACCCTATACCCTTCTTTGTTTGTAAGAAAACCAAATAACAAGACAAAAACCTACCACTTCTTATAAACTAGTAAGCAATGTGTTTCTTGTCATAAGGCCTGCCTTAGATTCCGTGGCTCATTAATTATATCAGGATCACAAAGTAATTAAAGCAAGCAAAGATTACAAGATTACACCGAAAATTAAAGAAAGGTGAGTTCTTAAACAAGTTTATCGGAAAATAATGAATTTTATAACCGTACTCTGTGTTTTAGCCAATATGAATATCAACAGTGGCTTATCAATCAGTTAGTTACAAGTAAGAATTTCGTACGTACGTACATCAGTTCACATTGCCATACCACATTAGCGCAGAGATTGAACTGTCTATTCAAACGCCGTAGTGGTAGATGTAGTGGACTTATTAGTGGCAATAGAGAAGATTAGTGTTCGAATATATTATTCAAGAAGTATTATCCAGGAAAATAGATTCAAAAAGATAGAACTAAAAGTCGTGAGTAATTTGGAAAATTAGAATTTGAAAGACAAAAAATGGATGCACCTGCGCCATTGCAAACGATTTTGAGCCATGTCATTCAAAGTCTCTAACCACCGGTTACGATTGTTTCGCGAACCCCAGTCAGGTAGTCTACACCTAACAACATGGCTCAGTCCATTTGTTAGTGGCTTCATGAATTTGTGCCATGTTATGGTTTTGCCGCTCCAGGATTTCCTCCAGCCTATCCCCTCGTTTGCCGAGGCACTCGGTTGTTGGGCATACAGAACACATGTTTCAATCACCTCAACTGACTAAGATTCAATACTTCATCTATTGATTTGCCATCCCTACATAGTACTCGTTTCCTAACAACAGCATTGCTTACTCGATTGTCCCACGAGACCTGAATAGTGGCTAATACCCAAACTAATAGCTGAAGAACATCCAGATTTTGTGTATGTCACCACAGTGAATTTTAAAATAGCTGCTGGACTTTAACTGCGTAGTTTAAAAGTGAAATCAAGATAGTGATCAGCTTACAATACAGTTAAGCTGAACGGCGGATAGCCTAGTACGTTTAACCCATAATTATTCAGATGGTGACGATGAGGGAAAGTAATCTAGTTACTAGAGAAGCAAGCAATCATGATCCTCTTATATTGTCTATAATATACTTTAAATAACCTTAATCTGTTTAGATTACGTTTTTGTTTGAATTGTTTCTTAAGACTCAAAATTGCTTCACCGAACGATTACCTATTGTTAGTAAGTCACAAAATCGCTCTCGCGCAATGGGTGCCCTGCCATGAAAAACTATATTTTTGCCACAAATAAAGTAAAAAGCTCTCTGTGAAGCAAATTATATAATATTGTAGTTTGACTTGCTTAGTTTGACCTACCGAGCTAGTTACAATCCTCAAATAACCTGACTTTATATTTCATCTTGAAGCCGGCATCAAGAACATTTTTTTAACTTTATCGGAATGGAAATACAAGAAGCGTTTCAATATCTGGTCGATTGTTTTTTACTGACTGAGTACTAAGCCGTGAGATTGCTATCTCATAAAATCATCACAGAAGTAGGACTGTCATAGATAATAAACTAAACACTTCCATCTGATGTTTGTGCTGACGATGTTGTTCAGAAGAACAACGAAAGCTTCACAACCAAAATATTCAGCTCAGAAAACAAAACACCACCATAAACACTAGATAGTCATACCATGTGAGTTTTAACTATATTTATTTACTTTCTTTCTGCGTATAAACTTGACAACAGTAGACTTGGTGGTGGGAAAATTTATCTAAACATCCCCAGAAGTTACAAGACCTACCAAAATTCATATGGATGTTTGGATAGACAGTCTATGACAAATGCTATGATATAAACATTAAATTAGCATCTACTGGTCTATCATGGCTTCTTGCATACAAACAACAAGATTTGTCATTTGTTGTATCTTAATATCAAGTATTTATTAACGTTTAACTAACTTTAGAGTAGATTAACGTTTTTACGTTAATGGCAGAAAAAACAAAAGAAAATGGTCACTTTTTTAAATGTTTAGTGGAACAATGCAATTTATATTTATTAAGATTATAAGTCAAAAACAGTGTGGTGATTTTATTAAAATGATGGAAGACAGAAAAAGACTTTGATGCAACAGTGACATTGTATACAAAGTAACCAGGGTAATCAAAATGTTCTGATTTCCTACCGCAGTTTTTTGGCTAAACAATCAAAAAGCAACGTCGTAATCTGGAATTTGTAATCACTGATTTATAAATTAGTATTAGAATAAGAAAATGTACACCAATGCTGTACCATGTAAAGGCTTTACAGTAAAGCTAAGCAAATAGATAGAGGTAATGTTTTAGAGCTTGTCTGCTTGTAGCATTATAATTAGATCTTTTGAAATTTTGAACGATAAACAAGTAGTAATTACTACAGTTTAGAAACAAAACTGATCGATATGAAAGCCTTCTTAAAAGTAGTACTTTCAAAACTTCTTATAGTTTGACATATTATTTCTCCCAAACAAAAGTACTTCTACAAGTATCAAGGTATTTTTGGTAACCCAAACTTGGAACTACTTTCAGATATACTGTCAAAATATTTTTCTTAAAACGTGAACACTAACTGAGGTTTAATGTCACTGCAAAAATATATATCTAGACATTAACAAGTTTTCAAAAACTCTTGTGAAGTTTAGGATATTTTTGTGATGATGAGACTTTGAAGAATAATTTTAAAAGTTAGGGAGTTATTTTGGTCTTATTATCTTGGAAATTGACGAAAGCATAGTATTTGGATTTCACGAAGAATAAATAAAACTTGAATGGCCTTATCAACCAGCTTATCTTAAACTCACATTAGCCTTTGGATTTTAGGGTGAACAGGTATATTAGCTAACCATTGCATCTGATATACAAAATTAAAAACAAAAATCGCTTTGAAGCTTAACTTAAAGGCATTAAAATGTAGTAACTCGACTAATTCACTAATCTATCTTCAAATTAAACAGTTACATTAGCCTGAAAATGATAGATAAAATATGTAACAGAGCAAGAATACAGAAATGGTTTAACAAAACAATACCCACAGACTTACTTTGTTGTCTGGCATTAATAAACCGATATAAAACGGCAATATTGCAACGACATCTATTATACTCATCACAGATATAAAGAACTTCCATCTGTTAGGTGCAGCATACATTCTTGCACAATACTCCACGGTAAATATGATTACGCATGCTGTATCGAGGCACGAAAAGGCATCAACGTACCGATCGCCACAAGCTCGTTGTTTACTTAATCCGGGTTCCGGCCCACAAGGTATAGTTTCCGTTATATTCGCAAATACGGAAACAGCAATAAAGAAACCGGTTACATAATAAATTACAATTGCAGTAGTAGAGAACTCCGGGTTTTCAAAAGCTTGCCAAAGTCTACTACGGAAATCCTTCGGAACTTCAGCATTCTCTTTAGCTGACGATCGTTCCTCCAGAAGACGCTCTGAATTTTCACGTTTACTGTCGTGATAATCCTCATAGCAGCAATCACCCAGAGCTTCCGATGCTATTCGAAAGTAAGCAAGTTCATCTTCGTACTGAATGACACATTCTTTCTTAGGATAATGAAGATGCCCACAACGATAATAAGTAAGTATATGTCGAAATATTTCAGGGTCTCTGTCGAAGTAATATTCGCCACTGTTCTCATCGTAAAAGTAATCACGTTCATCTGATCCAAGCAACGTGTGTGGATACTGGTTCAAACTACTTGTAAGTACTTCAAATCTCTGACCGCTTACATTAATAATAGCCTTCTTCTCACATACATCTTGGTTTGAATCATCTTTTGTACATACATTTTTTGGCAGACGATGTTGAGCGATTGGTACCCATCCAATCGCTGAAGCTCTAACAAGAGGTAACCAAGCAGAAGCCTGAGTCATATCACATATCCGAGCCATTAATAATTACTTCATGAACCGGTGTACGACTCCCAGTAATCCACCATTGTTGTCTGACTTATTTAGTGATGAGATATATAGTGATTTTATTAAATTCTGTCATGTTTCAGGATTAACACAAAATAGAAAAGAACACCACATGCGCGTATTCACAGAACAACAGCTTTCAATTATGAATATTCTTCACTGAAAAACTGGTGATTTTTGAAGCAAACAAACAAACTAGTGTTTTGTTCTAAAAAATTATATCAGACGACATAGGATGCTGGAGGTAAGCAGAAGTGATTAACCTGCCATTTATTTCCTAGTTAACTTCAGAATCGCAATCTTCATCGCAGTAGAGATCCTGAGCATCACCCAGTATAATATTCTAGGCACCTCTTCCAACTAGATGACAGTAGTCAGCAAAGCATATTACTTTACTTCACCCCACGATTATCTAAGCCTGCTTCCAATGACTTCTTAAGACCCAATTCTCTTATAAAACCCGAGAGGAAATCTGCGTAAGATAGAATATGAACTAGTTAGCAAGAAACTCGGAAGAAGCATTTTGTGGCTGAAATCACTGAACCATGTGACTTCTTCCCTATGGCGGTACTAAAGGTACCTTCTGTAAAGTTTGGTCATGCCGGTACCGAGCGATAGCATCCCAAGTGTTCTTGAAAGCTTACTTCCACTGCCAGGAATTATTAGTTTTTTCTTCCATGTTTGAATGGAACACAGAACACGCACCCATTCTAAAAAATGCCTTCTCACTGTGAAGGATGCTACTACGGTGAGGTATGCATTGGACAAGATTGAAAGGTGTGAAGGGGTATGCGCTCACCCGCGGCAATCGTTGCACATAATGATCTTAATAGCCCATTGTTAAAACAACAAATGGGGATCTCTGGTCTGTAGACATCATTGTGCAATCTCCATAGACGTGTACTCTTAATCAGTACCTGTAACCGATGACATAACATGCTTTATGGTGGGTGAATACAGTTGCTATTTCAGAAAATCTTTGAAGGACTGTATCAGAGGCAGTTATACCGATCACGGAGTCCCGAAAATGATACTGATGACTCAAGGTCAGTTGGATATCAAGAAGGCTTAGACAGCTGCATACCATCCGCCCAGCAGCAGGCCAGCAGATAGAAGTGATTGTGTAACAAGGAAACTGTTAGCAGCAAAACTAGGTAACTGGGAGGTGGGATTACTATTGCTATTACTAGCTCATTCTGCCTCGATAGAAAACTGTGTCTACCAGTGAACCGTAAGGCATGGGTGCAAGCACAGAGATGGGAACGTACTCAAAGGAAGACCAAGAGAGAGCAAATTTTGATTAACATACGACAGGAACAAGGAGATCGGAACGGTCTCAAGGTGATTAGCTGTAGCTCTTCTCAGTAGGAGATGAAGTACAAGAGTTGAAAACTGCTCCCTTAGTGAGAAGGACCATACGTGGTCATCGCTACGGCAAGATCGGTCTAACCTACCAGGAAAAATAACAAAGTGATACAAGTCAAGGCCGAATACGTTCAAAAAGGGGTTTAGTGGAGTGATAGATGAGAACCAGTTAAAAATCGACTGATGACAAAACCATGGAGATAGGAACCGAGTGAGTTGGATCATACACAAAATGTGACTTGTAAACTTTATGCAACGGAGCGTTGCCTAGAAGTTTCCATCAGCAAGAACAATGTTAGGGTATCGAAATGCACGACGCGATCAATAATTTTGAGGGTCAGATGAGTAGCGTTAGAAGATAGCCATCAACCTGTTTGGACTGCTTGATATTCTAATGAGTTGTTGAAGACTTTTTGTACATATTTCACGCGAAAACTTTGTCTTCACTGAATGTATGCACTCCATCCTTTGTTGACTACTTCTTACACTACAGTATCTCTCAGATCACTGATGCTTGACACTGTGGAAGTTAACATCCATCCTAAAGGTGTGTTTTGTGGATAGCAGATTGAGAAGTTTGTGAAAGAAAACCGTAAGACTGAGAGTGAGGCGGAGGCGAACAATGCCAGTAACACATAAACAAAACATAGGAGTAAAACAATTTTGTGCGTGAAACAAAGGTTTCGAGCAGTGAGATTAGAATGCCATAAGGTATTTCAATCACAATATTCTGAAAATCAATCAAGCATAATTGAAAAATGAAAAAGGGGAGAAGATTGAGGAATTACGTTTACTATCAATAAGCCGTCTCTCTTAAAATAAGAGAGAGAAAATCCATTTGTGATCGAAAGTAGTACAAAATAGACGGGACGCAAATGAGCATACTGTAAGGTTGGACTATTTCTCTAACTTCTTCAGCGAGACAACGTACATGACCTAATAATTTTAGATACCTAAAATCTCAAGTGGCTTCCTGAAGTAGTCCCTAACTAGTCTTAAATAGATTCATACATTTATGGAATTATAAATATATATGGCAGACAACTATTATTTTCAGATTTCAGATTTCCACATGTTTCCACAGCTACGATCATAAAAAAAAACGACAGCTAATAGTATTATGTGTGTGTCATACAGAATTCGGAATAAATTACAACACAAGATTATAATAATGACTGTAAAAATATGGGTATATGAGTAATTATTGTTTCTAGCAAAAGTGACACATCCATGTCGGATTATTATAAGACCATTTAATGTATATAATTATTTACCTATTATACACTTAAGTTATACTATTTGAGGCTCCACACAAATCAAATGACGATAGTTAGTAGAAGAGAGAAAGACCTCCCTCAATCATGATATTTGACATTTGTGGGAAAGTGAAAATCGGAAAATGAAGTCCTGGAGAGAAATGTATTTCCAGTAAGCTATGTCAATAGACTGAACTAGATAAGAAGTGCCTATTTGGTTTCATAGAAAATAGGTACAATGGCTGAACAATATTCTCGTAGACCAACGTAAAAACAAGACAAATCAAACAGCAGATGAATCATTATTGACCGTACCAGTTATTTGTCCTTGTTCACAACGTTATCATACTGTGCATATTTTGTCTGTTTAATGCATTATTTATTCACTTATCGATTCACCGTTTCCAGAACATGAAAACTAGCATACAATTATATGGTGAACTTTCTGGAGTGCTAATTAAATATTGCAGGTAGTAGTCTTTTTAATAAAGGTATTCAAATGTGAGATGGTGCAGGAAGCTTGTAGCTCAGGTGGATGATTGTGGTGGCGTTTCGATCTCTGAGCTAGGTGTTTTGGCTGTGGAGCTTTCATTGTTCCTTCGAACAACATCATCAGCCTAAACTTCAGATTAAAGTGAAATATTCGAATTTCTACACGTTTGACCTGTAGCGCGTTCTGTTAACCTCCAACTTCATTGGTTGCCTTTGACCTTAAACCTAGAGAATTTTTCAAAGCTTGGAACTCAGGGTCAATCAGTAATCAACAAAGACACCGACATTGACCCAATCTATCAACCAACCATAAAAAGCAAATGTGACATAGCATAAACAAACAGATCGAAATGGGGGATACAATCAAAACAAAGGTGCAAACAAAGTAGTTTCCTCCCTCACTGCAAAAGGCAATAATCTAAAGAAATCTAGCTTCTTATTTCAACTTGCGAACACAACTAAATCTGTCCTTTTATATTACAGGCTGAACGACCGTTGATAAGACATGCATTAAATAAATGTTACACTAAGCTAAAATAATTGAGAGTATCTCGAGTAAATGAGTTATTATATTGTTAGAAGGTCTGATGTGGGATTAAGGTTAGAGAATGGTTGTTCAATTTGGTGTATTGTTGGTGGCAGCAATATAATATGGGCATGCTAAACAAGTTAAAGAAGTTATTTGGATGGGTTATTGACCCGGAGGGAAGGGTGAAAATGTTGCCTGTTTGTGATTGTGCGAGAAAGGTGTTCTGCATATGGTGTGAAATGACCTTAGCCATATTCCTTGTCAAAGGTACCACAAAGGGCTGAATCTCAAAAACTTTTGGATGAGTTGACTGCAGCGCACTACCGTTCTTAGTGTAGTCTGGATGATACAATTCGTAGCTTTGCTATATTTCTTTGAATTAGTAATAACTTGGGAAGAATTCGCCTTTTTCAGCTGCCAGTTATTAGGACCATTTCTAGATTTCAGAGTCATTGGCTAGATTGATAAGGTGGGATGTAACGAGTTCATCTCGAAGGGTGTTGCAATTATAAACATTGGTATCGAGGATAGGATCTGGAGCGAAAAACCTACTACTACCATACCTATTAGTAACTCTAGGCAATGGTTGTTGTGCGATGTACTTAATACTCTGATAATTATTATTAGTCTGTGTTGGTTGCACTTGTTCCTATTATCAGTTTCGGAACTTGAGTTACCAGTGGGGTGAACCTGCTCAACCTAATCGTTTCGAACCCTACCTATCTCTTTATTTGAGGCCAAAGATTTAGTCTGCTCACCTTTTCTTGATACGACGTGGTGTTCTAGTCATGTTCCACGAGAAGAATTCGGGTTCTTTTCGTGTCATCCAATGTAATTTACTTGGGAGGACTAATCCTTAATTAATTGAGGTTCAATGGCTGTGTAGCTTATAATCAAGCAATTTAGTGTTCTGACAGCCTGGTTTAAGGATGTAGGTATGGTTACGTTACGCGGTGTCATTTGGGAACCGTATTTAGCTGATTCTATAAACTCATGAATATCTACAGGGTGGTATACCATACATATATTCATATTATGTTCGTGATCAATATGTTCAGTATTCTTTATAGCGTTGGAAGTTTTCTTTAGTTAATTGTTCGCTTTGATAGTTATGCGGTCATGTCACTTTCCGTAATTTTATGAAACGTCGACAAGGTATTAGATCTGAAGTGACCTTTATGTTTTTACACGGGATTGGCGAGCTAACATCTTTACTTAGATGAATAAACCGCTTAGCGCTGTTACAGCAGCCAAATTTGAATTTGCCTAAGCATTTGGATTAATGCGACTATTTCCTGAGGCGGAAGACTTGGCAACTGAAGTTTAGTAAACCACATGCCTAAAGGCAAGTATCCCTTATCTTAATGAGGGATAGGTTATTGTGCAGTTGATATTTATTTTGCTACTTACTTGCACAAATATTTGAATAAATAAATAATTACGGATATTACTAAGGATGTGAAATGAACGCTGAAACTGAGATATTTTCTCCCAAAAATGTCCGTAGATTGAAAGCCTACCTGAAATCGAGCTTTTCTTCTATTTCCTTTGATTATGACAAAACTCAACTCAAAAACAAGATGCCTCCGAACATTACGTGATTGACTACCAAACACCTGGAACCGTACCGAAAGCATAAGAATCGAGCGCAAAGAAATCAATTGGTTTATACTAGTACGTGACAAAGATATTGGATATTGGAAGTCCTGTTGACCGAAAATGAGTACAAGTAAGGAGTTGGGTAAATATCGATTCTTCACAATATCTATTCCCGAAGGCTTCTTCGGGACTATTATCGAAAGATGGGTTTGGAACATGTCAGCCAGCTCAACAAAGACGCACGACATTATGCACATATCAAGTCCCTACGGCCTAGTAGTCATAATTTTTCTGAGTTCTTATTATTAGTTATCTTATCTTATTAGTTTTATTGTAACCTAACTACGCCTGCAGACCTTCGAGGCTACCGCCGGTCCCAAGCCTGGATAACGGAGAATGGTTAGGATAGGGGTTGGCAACCATATCCCGTAAAATACTAACCTGCCAAAAAACCCCAACAAGTGAAATTTATTCGAACCATTTAAACTCTGCCCTGGGAGTTAAAAGGCCTTCTTTCAGAATCCTAGGATGAAGCTGTGGATCTCGGTAGCATCTGCCGAACTGATAGACGCCTGGAAACTCATCTCATCTGCCTCTGAGCATAACGAAGAGCGAAGCCAGCATAAGCGCATGCTGATAAAAGCCAATTCAATGATCGTGAACAGTGGTGGGTGGCGAAAGCAAAAGCGATGGAAAAGGCAGCGGCGATAGGCAACAGTAGGAAACTATCCAGACTCATCAAGGAAACCGGTATTAGGAACCCGAATATGAGTGAAACTATTTCGGAAAAGGTTGGTCTTATTATTCAATTTCAATCCAGGAGATTGGATCGATGAACAGGACACTACTCCGATTGGCCTTCAGTCAAAATTCGGTTGCCCACGACTCCAGTCATCGTCAATGGCAAATCGATATGAGTTGTCCAACTCTTTATGAAGTTGAGAAAGCGATAGGAAATCTGAAACGAGGGAGGGCAGCGGGTCCTGATAGGTTTACCCTTGAGGTTTTTAGTAATGGTGGTCCAGTTTTAGCAGTTAGATCGACTTAGATCTTAGGTAGAATTTGGTAACTTGGCGTATTCCCATACGACTGGTCTCAATCACCAATTGGACTGAGTCATGTAGGTAGGTGTCGACTACCCGGTTTGGGTCCGCGAGATGTTAGTAATCGATGGTTAGAGACCCTGAATGACATGGCTCAAAACCGTTTGCAATAGCGTAGGTGGATCCATTCTTTGTGTTCTTTCAAATCCCAAACTTTTCAATTTTTCGTCACTTTATGTTTATCTTTTTAAGTCTATTTCACTAGATTCTACTTCTTGAATAATATCCTCTACTTCTAACCTCTCCGACTACTGCTAATGCCTTTACTACCTCTACTACTATGAGATTTGAAAATAACATCGTACTAATGTGGTAAGGCAACATGATCGTACGTACACACATATGGGCATCCGACAATAGTTGGCTTCGTGGACCTTAGAGCAGCATTTGACTGTCGATCGTGAGGTCCGATGACGGTGTTTATCACTGAAAGGAGTACGAGAGAAGTACATTGACCTTATACAGGCTCTCTACTCGAACACTACTGGTCGAGTCAGAGCTTATGGCGAACCGTCCTCAGAAATGATTACTTCGAGTGTTGTTTGTCAGGATTATCTACTTTCTCCGTTCTTGCTTAACTTCCCCATGGATATGCTTTTAGAGACAACATTATCTTCGTCTTACTTTTCGTTTGACGTTTTGTCGGGAGATTCGCTCGTCGACTTAGAATATGCCTATGACATAGTTCTACTTAGTGAAGACGCTGACAAAATGCAGACTCTCCAGACTACTCTAAGCAACAATGAAATTATGTTCGGGACGCGATCCTCCTCATTGAAATGTCAAATGTTGCTTCAGGATTGGCTTGTATCGGCACCCGAACTAGTGATAGGGAGTTAAGGAGTTGAGCATCTTAACCTCACCACTTATCTCGGGAGTCTCATCGGCGCTGATGGCCTGGTGTGTGAAGAAATCGCAGCACGGATACAGAAAGCTCGATTGACTTTTGCCAACTTGTGCCACTTATGGCGTATGCGACATATCCGTCTGTTAACGAAAAAACAAGTGCTCTGTGCAGCATTCCGCTCCGTCCTACTATATGGATGCGAAACATTGCTGGTTTTCGATCATAGATATCTCCGAAGCATTGCTAGCGTATGCTGGGATAACCGAGTAAGCAATGCTATCGTTAGGAAACGAGACCTAGGTAACGGTGCCTAACCACCAACTGCATCGACGAGCTGTTTTGTGGTGTAGGAGTAGGTTGGAAGAAAGCTATGGGCGACCAGACCAAAACATGGCAGAAATCCATGAAATCACCGACAATTGGACTGAGTCATGTTAGTAGGTGTCGACTAACTGGTTGGGGCTTGCGTGATGATAGTCATCGATGGTTGGAGACCCTGAACGACATGGCTCAAGATGGCGCAGGTGCATCCAGTCTTTGTGTTCTCTGAAAACCTAACCCTCTGAATTCCTCATCACGTTTATCTTTTTCTTTTAGGTTTATTTCACTAGATTCCACTTTTTGAATTATATCTTAGATCCCTTATATTCTCCACTACCGCTAATTCGTTTACTATCTCCAACACTATGGGATTTGAACTGACAATTGCATCTCTGTACTAATGTAGTATGGTAACTTGAACTGATGTACGTACGTACGAAGTTGTACGTTGTAACTAACTGACTGACTGATATACTTGTAAATAAAATCCCCAACTTAATAAGTCCTACAGCAAAGCATTAGTAACAAGGTAATCAAATGTGCATTTTATCCGATTTTGTAAGATGAAAGTCATGAATTTTGAGTCAAGCTTGCTGTAAGCTAAAGTGTAAGTTTTAGTAGTTTGTTATGTGGATTTTCTAATAAAACCTTGATGTGAGATAAACAAAAGTGAAAATTTAGCATAAAAATACTTTATGTTTACAAGTCAGTGGTTAATTGAAAGACAAAATGATAAAAAAGTATTCCAAAAGATTCATTAAAATTACTTCAGACTACTAAAATATTGAGCGATATTGTTGGTTACTTCATATGTTAATCGAACGCCCTCAAAAATTCTTCAGCACATTGACGAGCCCTAGAATTCACTGCCAAGCGCATTTCCGAAATTTCTTTATCGATCTCATCCATGAAAGTAATTACAAAGTCAACCAACTTGGCCTTTGACATCTGTTCTGTATGAAAATTTGTGATAAGAAAACTGATATCATAGCCCTAGAAGAAAAAGAACACAGAAAGAAAAGTGTTCTTATTTTTTTCACAGGACAGAGATCCTTACAAGAATATAATATTTTAACAATGCATTACCACATGTTGTTAGAATTTATAACTGAGAAGTGAAGTAGTTAAATTTGTACAACAGAAGAGCACTCCCAACAACACTTTTGAATGATATCATTATTAAGAGAAAATTGATGTCACACAAAAAGTTATTCTACCACAGATTAAAGGTATTAGATTGACAAAAATCTGGATAAAATTAAAGAATTATCAACAAATCCAGAAAAAAAGTTGTTCAATATGTGTTAACAGAAGTTAAATCGTAAACTAGAAATACCGATGCACAGGTCATTTATTTTAAGTATTATGGGTGTGTAATAAACTTATTCACATATGAATTATACTAAAGTTTTTACAACCAATGCGTTTTATGTACTCTAAACTCAAGTGAATTATATGCTAGTTTGCTAAGGTGATCTAAACAATAAACCTTAGAGTAGTTCTAGTTGACAGAAAATAAAAGATCTTGCAAACAACCCCAAAATATAGAATACCCAGTACAAATCATAGTTTAATCAGATACATATTTCAAAGTTTTCTCAAGCTAGAAAGCTAGTCGATAACTGGCGGAACATGTAAGTGAAGTTTCGTAAATATAAGTTTCTTGTTATAGATAACGGACCATGAGTTAATAACTGTCTTAAAACTAAAACAAATAATTCAATTTTCATGAGGATATTCATTCTAAATCGAAGGAATAGTTTTTATAGTTAGTAAAAATGAACTTTATTCAGAAATTAAATACTTGATATTTGGAATATTAAAATACGATTATTTAGAACTATTACCTGTGAATTTCACCATTTCTACTCAGAATCGATTAGCGCATTACAACTCTAAAAATATTTTCTAAACATTTGCTAACAACTGACTGAACAGTAATTAACTAAACATTTTAATCTGTATTCACTTATATATCTAAGATAACACAAAATAGGAATCGTGTGACGCAATAGCTTGAGATGTTATCGAACGTGGCTCGTAATGGCTATTCTGAAGTAGTTTTTCGTTACTCCGTAAAAATGAAGGATTTCTGTGACTGAAAGAATTCTTCCTGAAGGCTTTTCTAAAAGCTGAACACTCTCACATTATACGTTATTTTCGCCCACTCATTTCCATATAGTTTCAATGCATTGCCTCTTTTTCTACCTCTTTACAATGCGACTCTCGTACTTCTGTGGTACATATTTATTTTGGTTAAACTTTTCCCCAGTGTTAATTTAGACAAAACAACCATATTTTGTATATACAGTTATTTACTTAGTCACGTAGATTTATAATCCCTTCATATATATGTTAAAAATCTCTTAAGAGTTCATAACTATCACATTACGTGAAACAAAAGATGTGACTTCAAACAATAACGCCGTATTAATTTAGACTGAAGTAACAAGACATCATCAGATAGGGGATTTAAAACATGTGCCATACGTTCTTAACCACTAAGTATCCCAACGTGGAGTATTAGCTGGCATAAATTAACCGGAGAAAAGACTAGGGACTGCCAGTCTGTCGTTAGCTTCTAGTTTGAGCTACGTCTTCAGCTGCAGGCTTTCTGTTTACAGCTTATCATACTTGTCATTCAACATTAGAGACGGGTGACATGATGGGAAATCATACACGAAACTTGTTAGATTCCTTACGTATCTTGTCATAAATGTTAAATTTATGCGTTTATCTATACATTCACATCCTTCGATCCAATTTGTTGCTTTTTTGCTCTATTTCCCATAATCGTCTTCAGGAATTTCTCCCATAATATGCTATTTATCTTAATTTCTCCTCGTTATATTAGAGGAAGTTGTGACAATTGGGACCGAACCATACTAGCTTGAGATTTTAGGTTGATGACTTACTCATATCAGATCAAACTGAAATACGAAAACCTGTAATTTTTTTGTTGTTTATTGAATCTATAGTAAAGTGGTATTTACAAATGATTTTACTAGTATGCGTTAGTCAGTTCATAAAAGGAAACCTCATTCAATGAAGGTTTTTATGAAACTTTAACAAAGCTTGTCTATCATTTAAAAGAGACTAATGAGTTTCCCATTTTCTACCACTGATTAGGTACTTCGTAGATACCAAACCAAAAAAATGCCCTTTCTAATCAAACTTACCTCTTTTATTATGACAGAAATATTGTTATTCCAAATATAGTATAAGAATTACAAACTAAAGTCAGTCTGAAGGGGTTTTTCATGAATTCTGCATTTTGGTTGGTGCTTTAAACAACTTTCGTTTCAAACCGTTAGTTTTAGTGATTAATGCAAACACTTCACGCATAATAAATATAGAAAAAGTTGGAAGAAAATTATCCGTACGAAGTTGTGATTTGCAGCTTAATGACTGAAAGTCACTTGGACTGTTGTTTAAATTTTCTGTCTGCTTGTTCTAGAGTTTTTAGTTCATGAGGAAGATCAACAGCAGGTTTATCTTCGTCATATTTGAGCATTAGTAACTTTATTTCTTGATCCCTAAGACGCGACACAAAATTACAAAACCCAATACAACAGTCCGTCAGTACAGTGAATGTCAAGTTGTACATAAATTATCTTCAGAATACTTCCAAACCCCTTTAGTATCGATCATCTTACCTAGATTCCTACCTCTAATTATAAAATCACTCTTAGCAGCCAAATCGTATACGAACTTGAACTTATTTAGTTGTACACTAGAGAACGAAAAATTGGACGACACAAATACAGTGATAATACTACAGATAAATATAAGTCATTTTATTAAAAATTAAGTGGAGAATATGCAGCATTTTGGTTTTAAAAAGTTGAAGAAATATTTATTGATTAAGAGAGCTTGCAATTACTTGTGTGAGGAATGCAATTAGAAACTACAAGAGGGTTACCTCTAACCTCCATTCTAGGGAATATTTGAAGCCTCTCAAGTCAATGAGTTGCATAATTTCTAAAAACCAAACAAGTGAATCTTCATGGGCCAACAGATGTCGGTCCCATACTGCGATCTTTAGTATTATGCACCACAGTTGGTGCTACGGAGAAAAAAAGATATGTTTACACCCAACGTCAAATCGGCAACAAACACTTCGGTTTGTTGACCGCATGCCAGAGCGCTATAAGGATTTCTACGTCTTCGAAAAAATAAGTGAGAAACCCAAGATTTATTTATCAAAGTGACATCAAGCGGGAACTGTATAGAATATACTTTTGCGACAAACAAATGATATTCAGCTATATGCCATGTTATTGTTATAATATACAGTACACCTTTAAAAATACATAAACATTAAATATATAACTCAAGTACATTCCAACAGTTAGTACAAGCAACAATGTTGGAGGAAGACAGAAAAGCAAATAGAAATAATACAGGATTTTTATGCTGGTGAAAATTTGTCAGTCAATATTACTCTGTGTAGAAGTTGGCCCATTGATAGGCATGAACGTATATCTGGACTATAAAAAGTGGTAATTAAGTAAACACCACTACATAGTCTTTACGCCAGAGTAGATAAGTACAATTATGAATAAGGATGTAAATATTCTGATACTTTTTATCTAGGCATCATTTGTATGCGAATCATCAGACAAATAATTTTGGCGTTTGTTGCTAGGTTTTAGCTAGTGCAATTATATTACATAGGGAGTCTAGACTGTTTTCATAATGCAATTGTTTGGGGTTAATGAAGCAAAAATCAGAAATTTAGATACTGATGTAGTATAACAGTAAATCAATGATTTTGTTTCATTTTAGTTGAATCTGACCAAGTAATAAATGAGTCGGTTGAGAAGTAATCGTGATGACAACAGTAACTATCTAGCTGACAAACAACATAAGTTGGATTTGATACAGTTCTGTGCAAAATGGCTAAGAGGTCCTTTTCTTAGAAATTGCTATTCGTTCTTTAATTAACTACAGTTGCTAACACAAAAACTCTTGGAGGGGGGGGTAAATACACTTTTCACTCATTACAGTTGTCTTGTGAACTTCCATTTCTAAATAAGAAAAGTTTCTCAGCGATGAAATCCTATTTGTTGAAACATAAATTTCGGTGAAAAGTAAAGGACACCTAAATGTTTATGTGCCACACAAATTATCGACTTTGTTGGTGGGTTGACATACTGTCTGGGTGCCGAAACGGGAGTAGATGGTTTTCGTAGGTAGCAATTCTCCGAGCCTTTGAGCAAGCGACCTAGTTCACAAGGCAGTGGAGAAGTGTCAAGAAATCCAGTCCCATGGTAGTCAGCGGCTAATAGTAAGTTCATTCGTCGTTTTTTCCCTCAGGATCCTGGAACTAATGTGCATCATTGGGTTGAAGTCTGGGTTTTCCAACTCCCCTTAGGTGCATTATCCATATCCACCAACCCGTATTTAGCACCGAACATTGGCTTTTTTTCCTCAAAATTTCATGAACAACGACCCCGCCAACAGAAGGTAGTGAACATGACTTCCTTGACAGTATCATACAAGTGTGGGAGAGCGGACTCTCTCTACTTTTGGCCATGCCAGAGCATATGGGGGCCAAATAGAATCTACAGATTTTATTGTATGACAGGATACCAGAGTGGAAATTTATGATCAATTAACAGAGCTTTTCCTGAACCATATACAAACGACAGTCAAATAATTAAAAATGAAGTAGAATTGTAGTTTCATTGAACCAAAAACAGATAGAGTTTTAAAATTTAACGTCAATGATCAGAAATAGGGACTTACAGGAACAGGTTTACGCCTCAGTATAACAAAGTCTTCTGCACGAGTCATCATAAACCGAGTGAATTTCCGACAAAGTAGCTTTTCGATTTCATCAGACTGTTTGATAGCAATACTGACACGAACTGAATTAATTGACCCCTCAATTAATACCCGCTCTTTTTCATTCCGACTAATAATTACGGGATTTAATAGCAGCTCCTTAGAAGTTTTAACTTCTATTTCCGGTTTGTTGTGACGTTCAACAACTTGTGAAGAAAAATTTTGAACACACAGTGCTGCGTTTAGGGTGTGCCTAACTGCGTTTAAATAGGGTTTCAGTGCCTGAAAATAACCAAAAACACTGTATACAGTATTATTTATCCCAAAGATTCTATTTATGATTAAAACTGTCTTTTTCATATTTCGCTAAACTGAGTTACATATGAGTAAATTGAAATTTAGAACGAGTAAGAGTTTGTGTAGTTATGAGGCATACTGAACCACTATGATGAGCAAAATCTAACATGAAATTTGTTGATAACAAATGAAGCTGCCTAATCCTTGGATTTATGAAGTTAGGATAATCTGACGACGCCTCAATTAGCATTTTATTAGTTAATTTATTTAAACATATCATGTACTGAGCTTATGCACAATGAACCAAGCCTAAGTACTTCACGTACCTTAATCATAAAAACAAGCTTTTTCACGGTTTAAATGGCTAAAAAAATGACGCAAGACTCAGTAATTGTAACTCAGCCTGGAGCTACTCTGAGGCTAATGCCGGTCCCAAGCCCGGAGAAAGGAGGAGGACTGAGCTTGGGATTGGCGACCCCGATAAAACAAACGCTAACCAGAAAACATAATCCAAACCATTTTAATTCTGTCCTGGGAGTTAGAAGGCCTTCCTTCAGAAGAATTATGACGTCTCATAATGAAAGCAGAGTTCCTTCGGAAGTCAGGAGGCCGACGCCCCTTCTGATAACCGGAGCAACCATTCTTTTAGGAAAATGGAACAATCGAACATTGTGTTAGACTGGAAGACTATCCCAAGTTGCTGCAGAAATGTGAAGATATAACTTGGGGGTGCTTGGAATCAGTGACACACATTGGACGCAGGTAGAAAAACTAAGCCAGTTAAGGAGATACGCTGTCATATTCTGGTCATGAAGAGGAAAATGCTTCACATACACAAGGAATTGCACTGATGCTGTCCAAACAAGGCACACCAAGGATCATTAAAGCATCCTTCAAAACAAGGGGAGATGGCATTACAATCAACATCATCCAATGTTACTCACCCAACAATGACTACAATGATGACGTTAAAGATCAATTCTACTAGAGGCTGCAGTCAATCGTCGACAGATGCTCACCAAAGGATTTAACCATTCAGATGGGAGACCTAAATGTCAAAGTTGGCATGGACAACACTGGATATGAAGACATCACGGGATGACACGGACTAGGAGAAAGGAACAAAAATCGTGAGAGGTTTGCAAACCTATGTGCCTTCAAAAAACTGGTCATCGGCGGCACAATATTCCCACACAAACGCATACACAAAGCTACATGGACTTCACTGGATTACACAACTCAGAACCAAATCGACTATATCCGCATCAATGAAAGTTCAGAAGGACCATGGAGGATGTGAGAACCAAAAGAGGAGCTGACATAGCCTCAGATCACCACTTGCTGGCCGCCAAAATGAAACTGGAACTCAAGGAACACTGGAGAACGGGGCAGACAACATCACAAAAGTTTAATACGGCCTTTCTTCGGGATACCGTAAAACTCAAGATAGCCCTCAGAAATAGGTTCCAGGCCTTGCACGGTCTACTCAATGGAGAGGAAACAACCATGGAGAACAATTGGGAAGATCAAATAGGCAATCACTTCAACATGTCACGAGGTTCTGGACTACAGGAAGTACCATCACAAAGGAATGAATCTTTGTTGGTACTCTTGAAAAAAAATTGAAGGAGGAATAAAAAGGCAGCAATCAATATCAGCCGAACAAGAGCAGAAAAAGCCAAAACACAAGCTGAATACACAGAAGCAAACAGGCAGCACAACAACACAACATGCAATAACTAAACCACACTTGACAGAGAAACATTGGAGGATATGGAAGCCCTTACATACTAGGGCAGCATCATCGACAATCAAGGTGGATCCGATGCAGAAGTGAGGGCCCGTATCGGCAAGGCAAGGACTGCATTTCTACAATTGAAAAATATCTGAAACTCCAAACAAATATCAATCAACACCAAAATCAGGATTTTCAATACAAATGTCAAGACAGTTCTACTGTATGGAGCGGAAACTTGGAGAACCACGAAAGTCATCATCCAGAAGATACAAGTATTCATTACCAGTTGTCTACGCAAAATACTGAGGATTCGTTGACCAAACACTCAGCAACAACCCTCTTTGGGAGAGAACAAACCAGATTCCAGTGGAGGAGGAAATCAGGAAGAATCGGTGGAAGTGGATAGGAAACACTGCAAAAAGCACCCAACTGCGTCACAAGACAGGCCCTCTCTCGGAACCCTCAATGTAAAAGGAAAAGAGGAAGACCAAAGAACACATTACGCCGAGAAATAGAGAAAGATATGAGAAGAATAAACAAAAATTAACAGAACCGGAAGGGGAAGCCCAGGACAGAGTTGGTTGGAGAAAACTGGTGGGCTGCCTATGCTCCATTGGGGGAAACAGGCGCAGGTTAGTACCCAGTAAATGTGCAGAAATCTAGAACAAGAGATTTTGGATGCCAAGTAGGCATGCATGAGCTCGAATTTTAGCCACATTACTTTTGCGAGTGAAATAGGATTTTGACGGAGTTGGACGTCGCCAATGAAAGTCTAGCAGTAATATACATTGAATAAAAGAAGGGAAGGACTAGAAATCAAATAGCATACCAGGAAGTTTGTAGTTTTGTTAAGATGGATTTTAAAGCCAATTGAGGTATGAAAATCACGACAGAAAACCACATGTTGTATAGAAGAATTATACAAGCCACTACATACATTTTTTCAGTGTTCTTAAATTGCATCAGTGAGTACGCTAACTATCGTACTGTTTCGATCAAAACTGGTTACCATAAGTTGTACCCGTTAGCGAAGTATTTTCAGCAGAAATCACTGAACAGTAAAATAGGAAAAAAACCTTCTAGCAAACACAGAGGAATCAGCTTAACCAATATAGTGTCCTAACCGTTAACGTCGATAATACTTCGACGCCTAACTAGGGTTTGTGTACAGCAGACTGGAGAAAACCAAGCCGGTTTCAGACCTGCATGTGGCTGTTTAGACAACATATTCACACTACGTCAGATCGCAGAATATAGACACACGTTCAGACGTCCGACAATAGTTGTATTTCTCGACCTCAAGGCTCGATTCGACTCTACCGATCGTGAGGTTCTATGACAGTGTTTATCACTGAAAGGAGTACGAGGGAAGTACATTGACCTTATACAGGCTCTCTACTCGAACACTACTGGTCGAGTCAGAGCTTATGGCGAACTGTCTTCAGAATTTATTACTTCCAGTGGTGTTTGTCAGGATTGTCTACTTTCTCCGTTTTTGCCTAACTTTCCCAAAGATATGCTTTTAGAGACAACATTATCTTCGTCTTACTTTTCAGGAGTTGACGTTTCGTCGGGAGATTCGCTCGTTAACTTAGAATATGCCTATGACATAGTTCTACTTGGTGAAGAAGCTGAAATAATGCAGTCTTCTGATCACCTTAGGGACCATGAAGGCACTTTCGAGATGCGATCCCCCTCATTGAAATGCAAAATTTTGCTTTAAGAGTGGGTTGAATCGGCACCTGAACTATTGATAGGGAGTGAAACAGTTGAGCGTGTTGACCGCCTCACTTATCCTAAGCTTCTGAATCCCTCATACCCTTTATCTTTTAAGTTTATTCCACTAGATCCTACTTCTTGAATAATATCGTCGAACCCTCAAACTTCTTATTATTGCTCTTACTACCTCTACTACTTTGGGGTTTGAAGTGACAATTGCATCCCTGTGCTAATGTGGTATGAAAACTTGAACTGATGTGCGTATGTACGAAGTTCTATGTTGTTGCTGACTGACTGGAGTTTCATCAGTACTGATGGCCTGATGTGTGGAGAAATCTCGGCACGGAGATAATGTTGTCTCTAAAAGCATATCTTTGGGAAAGTTAGGCAAAAACGGAGATAGTAGACAATCCTGACAAACAACACTCAAAGTAATAAATTCTGAAGACAGTTCGCCATAAGCTCTGACTCGACCAGTAGTGTTTGAGTAGAGCCTGTATAATGTCAACGTACTTCTCTCGTACTCCTTTCAGTGAGAAACACTGTCATAGAACCTCACGATCGATAGAGTCGAATCGAGCCTTGAGGTCGAGAAATACGACTATGGTCGGGCATCTGAACGTGTGTATTCTAGGACCTATCGAGCAGGTGCATTTACTCTTCGTTTTATATAGATCTTCAGTCGGAATTCCACAATGATACGTTGTGTCGCGATTCGGTCAGAGCACGACCGATCCTTACGGAATGAAGTGTTGATCTCGAAGTTGAGTGTCTACAGAATCTTTCACTTAGTTCAACAATACTCTGGGCAAGACGTTTCCTGATATTGATGGCACTGATGTCTGCGTACCACTGAACGGATATCATAGGGAAAAAAGCTGCCCAACGGGTCAGGTTTCATTATTTGCGTCAGTCAACTCTGATATGATAGTGATAATCCCACTCCTGACACGTTAGATGTGACATGCTACAGATCATCAATAACACTTGAGAATATTCCGTAACTAGTTACTAGTGCTCACGATTACAATATCTATAACTGATTATTAGAGGTTTGTTTGGTGGGTAACTGAGGGGCAGCTCAACTGTCCCGGCAGCAGATAACAACTAACCAAGCTATACTGGCTTCAACCGTAACACCACGCGTAAGCAGTAAGTTTAAGGTCCGACAGTGAAATCACACAAGAATCTGCACAGGGATACAGTGAAAACAGGATGCTCCTTGTGACATTCCCTCAATACAGAAGAGGGTGGAAAACCTTGACCTTGGAAACGACGATTTGTTTCAAGGATTTTGTGCACAACTAGTATAATCTGACAAAATGCGATAGGTTCTCACAAAAATATCACTTATAATGGGACTAAAAAGGATACTACTTAGAGTATGTGGTCACACTTCCTGATCGATAAGATGACTACTGACCCAATCCTCCTACCATATCTCTACAGGGTGGATGAAAGGTTCGGATAGTTTCGTTCACTTATGTAGCTACTGCAGTCCCGAATCATCATTAGAACCCTTCTAGCATTTAAAAACCTTCAGGTAATAAAGTTTGATGGTATGAGACGAAGTGTTCGTCAACAATTAAGAAAATAGAGATATAACTTTGAATATTTAGGACAAAGATCCCCGTGGCCTCCGTATAAAAGCAATATTAGGCACGATATATAAAATGATATAAAACTAATACGGCGTGACAATAATTTACCGCTGCTTATGAAAGTAAGTTGGACCATATCCGACACGTCATCACTGTGACAGATAAGATATATCACCTGTATTCCAAAAAGCTTATCTCTATAACCATGTTATATGAAAGTGACAGCAATATAATAAGGTTAGTCAACATTTTATGGTGGTTTTTGAGTTACATATCTAATTATCAAAATGGGAGCAATTTGCGCCCCAAGATTGGCGTAAAATCTTTTGACTTGGATTAGCCGATAGAAAAACGTCCTTATTTACTCCTAAAAGCTTTTGGTGAAGATTTTTCAGCCTAACCCTGATGAGTTTGCTGTATCACGGAAAGTAACCCACCATTGTAAAAAAGTGTGCTGAATCATTCACACATGGCGGTTTGAACACAATATCCAATATCTTTTAACGAGCTAGTATAAACCAATTAATTTCTTTGCACTGGATTCTTGTTCTTTCGGTACGGTTTCAAGTATTGGGTAGTTTTCAATGAATGGGGGTTTGTAGGTCCCCTGATTTGAATGAATACGTTTGTCTTAGGGCAGTAGGGTTTCTGGATACCAGTGGCTATCACATTACCAGACCGGAGATAATATCAGGGGGTGCAGCGACGCGCAAATATCTGAAATATGTTAGGTGATGGCATCGGGTTGCCTTCACATAAAGCGAAGAGTTGCGTTAGCATGGGCTGCGTCCTCTATATATAGTTCCAATTGGTGTGGAGGCTTTCATTGATTGTTAAACCGAGATTGCGCTGTGAGGGGATATTAGTTATCAGACTTCCATTGAGGGTGTAAGTCGTTTGAGTTAGGTGATGAAGAACGTACATAAAGACATTTCGTCTGGTTTAGTTTTAAACCATTTTTAACTGCCCATTCCTCAATGGATATAAGGTCATTTTGGAGCCCAGTTGAATCCTTTTCGCTTCCAATGGACCTCCAGATCTTCGGATTCTCTGCGCAGATGAATGCGGCTGAACTAACTGTGCTTAACAAGTCACTAATGAACATCAGGAAGAGAAGTGGACTTCAGACGGTCCCCTGTGAGACTCCCGATGTTGAGACTCGCCAACTCGCGTGCTTTCTATTTACCTTGGCACGAAACTTTCTATTCTGAAGGTAGTTTCTGAGCCAAGATACGAGTGCACCTGTGAAGCCCATTTCCACAACCTTTGCGATTAGGCGTGCTTGGGGCAATGTGTCGAAGGCTTTTGCAAAGTCTAGAAATATTACGTGCACCGGTATTGTTCGGTCCAAGCAGTATTTCCACCTGTCCCATACTATGAGAAGACTGGATGCGCACGAACTGCCTTTCTGAAACCCGTGTTGAGCTTCATGGACTATTTTATTTTATCCATGTAGTAAGGCATTTGTTCGTTCACCAGCCTTTCCATTTCCTCTGATAGTATTGGTATTAATACAGCCGGATCCTTCCTATCTCCTCCTCTGAAGATTGGAGACAGAGTAGCTTGTTTCCATTCAGCTGAGAGTTGGTGTGACTGTAGAATCCATTTTGAAGGATTTGTTTTCAGATATCCCTACATGTATATATCTGTAATATGTTCTTACTGACTCCTGTGCTACATTTTGGTACTCTGCTTAATCCATTTTGGGATGTTAATATTTGTATTTTGTTATGGTTTCTATTTTTGTACCCTTATTGGAGTTTCTATGCTTTCTACTGAACTGTATTATGTTGTTTAAGTTGATACTTAATAATGGCTATAGCCATATCGGAATTGATAGCCTGGCGGGTAAAACGTGAATCTGGACTGGAACGGTGAAATTTCAGACCTATACGGAGGCATTCTTCCAGAATCGGAAACTCATTGTGTTAATTTTGACGGTGAACAGTGTTACATTGTTTAGCTAATTGTCTGTAAATTTTAATTAATAACAGAGCCGTTTCTTACCCAGATCAATTGCTTTCTTTTTGGGATATCCCGGCAAGGCGCGTATCTAAACTTCTGGAACTGTTTTTCCGAATTCAGAATCTCTTCTGAGACTTGCAGTGACTCCAGTAAATGTCTGAACAGGTCACATATCGGTGAAAAGAGGACTTTTTCAAAACTATGGGGCGAATATTGTCACAACCTGGTGACATTTCCGGGATGTTAGTTTCCCTAGAACTACGTCAGGAGCGATACGGATATTCCCTAAGCTGTCAGCTGACGCTGCGTTTGTGTAGGAGGTAGATAGGTGTGTGGTGGCTTTTATGTTTTCTGCTTGATGTAACGCCAAACCACTGTATTAATGACCCCCCGAACGTTAGACTCCCACCGTTCAAAAATAAAAAAGACGGAAGACGTTGGAGAACACTTATTAACAGAATCAAAAATATACAATCAAACATGCGTATTTATACAATTATACATATAATCGATATTGTCGTTTAAATATTTGAATATTAAATCCAATAGTTCATCGATTGACTGCCCTTGAAATATTTAAGCATTTAATCGATAAGTTCATCAATCCACAATGTGCATGGCTTTCTTCTAGATTGGCTATCCCAACACCTCCCCGGAATAAGATTTTTTTCTTGGGTCCACTTGTAGTCTTACGACTGGTTTGCGGCGGCGTTCCATTCTGGTTATAGTTTTTCGAGTTAATGTCTCCAACCTTCCCTTTTCTTCGGCATTCCGGGACAAATGGGTATTGGTCGGTTCTGTGATCAACTCCAGGGGTAGATTCACGCGATTATCACCCGAGCGCGCCATTCTTTCGTCCCTTCGCAGTTGGTTCGTGTGTCTAACACAGCTTCCGTAAGCTCCTATGATTCGATACAAAACTCTTCCTAGTCTTTGGACGACTGTTCCTGGTTCCCATTGATTTTTACCACGATATGTTTTTAGGAACACTTTATCGCCAAAATTGAAGCTGCGAATATTTTGATTTGGCCTGTATCTATTCGCTCTTTTAGGGGGCAACATCGCGTTAAAAATAGTCCGAATACGTCTTCCAAACATTGCTTCGGCTGGAGACTTCCCCTCTGGGACCATAGGGTTCGGACTGCTTCTGTAAGCCGTTAAAAATCTCGTGATTACTTGGCTAGTTGGCCCCTCGTCTCCCCCTTTCAGTAAGGCTCTTTTGAAGGTGTCCACGAAGCGTTCAGCTTGTCCATTGGATTGGGGATGGTATGGTGGGGACCGTAGATGCGTTATGCCGTTTGAACTGCAGAATCGCGTGAATGAGTCGGCAACAAATTGTGATCCATTATCAGTTACCAATGTTTCTGGCACTCCGAAACAACTAAATAAGGTAGAAAGCTTCTGAATAGTTTCTGAGGCTGTACAATTCGGCATGCTGTATATTTCTGGCCATTTTGTATACGCATCTACAATAATTAGAAACATTTTACCTTGGATTGGGCCAGCGAAATCTGCATGAATTCTCTCCCAAGGTCCAGTAGGTTTCTGCCATTGTTGAGGCTCGCATTTCGAAAGGTTTTTTTGCGGCTTGTATGCATGAAAGACAGTTTCGGCATTTGGTTTCTATATCGTTATCCATCGAGGGCCAGTAGGCGTAGCTGCGCGTCAACGATTTCATCTTGTTTATTCCAGGGTGACCACTGTGAAATTGCTTGAGGGTTTTATGTCGCAATAATTTTGGAATGATAATTCGGTCACCAAACATAATGCATGAGTCGATAATAGTGAGTGAATCGCGCCGGCGGAAATATTGTTGCAGCTCTCCTTGTAGACGACGATTCGGCCACTTAGAGAGGATATAACCTTTGACTTCTTGTAGTATTTTGTCATTTATTGTAGCCTCTTTAATAACTTTGAATGTAACTGGTAGACCATCTACTGCGTCTTTCAACACTCGATGTACTTCTGACTCAATCGCAGCCACCAAGATATCTTCTTCCTGATTCGCTTGAGAACCAATGAGTCTAGACAAAGCGTCAGCTTGTCCGAAAGAAGTAGTAGGTTGGTACTTAATTTTGAATTCGTAGCCCAATAATGTGGTTCCCTATCGTTGTAATCTGTTCGCCGTATAGACTGGGGTCCCTTTCTTTGACCCAAATATGGCTAGCAGCGGTTTGTGGTCATTTAAGAGTGTGAAGCTGCGTCCAAATATCATCTTGTGAAATTTTCTTACGGCAAAAATAATTGACAAAGCTTCTTTCTCAATCTGACTATACTTACGTTCTGTTGTAGTTAAAGACCTTGCTGCATGCGAGATTGCCTTCTCTGACCCATCAGGCATGATATGCGAAATGCTTGCTCCAATGCCGTAGCTTGAAGCATCTGACGCTACTACAATGGGGAGGGATGGGTCATAGTGTGTCAGCGACAGATCCGAGAGTAGCAGTTTTTTAATCTTCTCGAAAGCAATTTGACAACTATTGGACCAACACCGCTTTACGTTCTTTGCTAAAAGACTGTTTAATGGGGGACGTAGACGATGAAGGTCAGGGATAAAAGCTCCATAATGACTAACGAGCCCCAAAAAGGATCGAAGTGTGGAAACATCTGTCGGTCTCGGCATTTCTTTCAAGGCTTGAGTGTTTTCTGGGTCTGGTTTTCTCCCGTCTTTATCGATAATAAAACCGAGGTAGCGTACCCTCTGCATGAAAAAGTCGCATTTTTCCACACGAAGCCGGAATCCATATTCAGCTATTCTTGATAGTACCTGGTCGAGCTTCTTTTCTAAGTCTATTCTATCAACGCCCATAATTATTATGTCATCCAGGTAAGCTGCGACGCCAGGGAGATCATGTAGCATAGTGTCCATCACCTGTTGAAATATGGAGGGCGCAGTTTTGACTCCAAAAGGTAACCGATTATATCTGAATAGGCCCTTATGTGTGTTAATAGTAAGCAGATCTTTACTTTCATCAGCGACAGGAATCTGTAAATAAGCTTCCGATAAATCCAGTTTCGCAAACACCTTGCCTCCGTTTAGTTTAGTGAAAAGATCCTCAGGTATAGGCAGGGGATACTGGTGGGGTTCTAGAGCATCATTCAGTCCGGTAGAGTAATCAGCACATAGACGGACACTGCCGTTTGACTTCTTGACCACCACAATCGGTGCAGCCCATTTGGAGAAACTTACAGGTTCAATAACACCCACTTTTTGAAGTCGTTCCAGTTCCTGTTCAACTACTGGGAGAGAAGCTTAAGGTACAGGTCTTTTTGGTCGAAAAACAGGAATAGCTGTCGACTTGAGAGTCAGTAGTGCTTTGGCTTTGGTACATTCGCCTAACGCTTCCGAAAATACTTCATGATGCCTTTTTATAATGGCATTTCTCAGATTTGACTCTAAAGGGTTATTGATTCTAACTCGGCTGCAGATGTTGTTGATAGAATGGTCTGTTAATTTTAATGCATCTATGAGATCCAACCTCAATAAATCGAGGTCTGGGTTTTTAGTTAAGTAATAATAATAATAATAATAATTTATTC